CTGCCCATCCTTTTCATGGCCTGTCCTTTTCTGGCTGAGTGTCAGAGGCCCGGGGCCCCAGGTCCTTGTTGTTCTGCCCTAGGGGTACTGAATGAACGGGAAGCTCGCCTCTCCTGGTGTGCCTTTGGTGGGCACACTGTGCTTCAGAAATCTTTCTCGTGTCTAACGCTCACTAAGGATCTGTGCCCACTGGACACACTGTCCCACAGAGCCTCGTGGCGATGCATGTGTTGAGTAAGCAGAGTCACATGTTTTACGCTGTTCTCATGTCTGAGATTTCAGGGCAACGCTTGTGCAGGGATGAATAATCTGGCTCATCCCACCCAGCACCGTGTGCCCTTATGCTTCTTTTCTAGAGCGAGACGATGCCGCCCTGGAGGTGACGGAGAGCAATGCCACATTAGTGGTGGATGGCGATAAACGGGTCAAACGGCGACTGCTCATGGGTAAACGCCCAACTCCCCTCCCTAGCCACTGCCATTGTCCCTTTCTCTCCCCAACAATTGCTATCAGGCCTGAACTTGGGGGCCACGTGCCCTCGGGCCAGCCAGACCAGGGTGAGCATCTCCTGCCAAGCCGGCTGTGTCTGCTCTTCACTGCTGTTGCTTAATAACCATCCAAGACCCCGGGCTTGTGGGCTGAGCGCCGGCAGAGTGTCAGAATAATCAGGTCAGCATCCTGGTGCTGCTCGACTAACCGTGAAGCTTGGCCGACTGCCTTGAGCCTCCATCTCTTGGTCTTTCTTGAAAAGTAGATGCAATATCTACCTCTTTTTAAAAAAATTCTACCTCTTAGAGTTGCCAGTTGCCTCTCTTCAATTAGGATAAAAATATGCACAGGTGCCTGGAATCCTGAGCCTTGCACTTGGCGGGTGTCGGGAGCATCAGTCCCCTCCCTCCTGATGACTGTCACGAGAGAGGCACCTTGGCAGCCTCGGGCTCGGCGTGGAGATGGTCTGTGTCCGCGTCTGCTGGGTCTCCTATTTCTGACACAGCTGATGTTCATGGTAGAAGAGATGAACGGAGAAGAGTGGCACTTGGCTGGGGGACACAGGAAAAGCTGCCAGCAGGTCCAGCAGTCGAGCTGGAGACAGAGCAGAAGTGGAGGCGGTGGCTGTGGGGGTGGGCATCAGATCCAAGGCACATTGTGATGTTGGAGAAAGTTTGCCTCGACCCAGCCAAAACTGATCTTTGGCGGCTTCTGAATTTAATTGTCAGGCAAGATATTGAGCAGCCATTGGTTACCAAGTGGGGTACCATTTCTGAGCACTTTTCTGCTCTTTAGAAGTTAGTGCTTATTCACTTATTTCATGTAGAGGAGAGAGAAACAGAGACAGAGACAAGGACACCCAACAAGGTGTCGTCATGCAGTGATCTCCTGCTCCTCGCAGCCTTCCTGCCATCCAGGATCGTGCCTGGTATGTTCAGGTTGACCCACGATCCAAACCCCAGGACTTCCTGTATGTCTCCAGTATCATACAATGGCTCTGTGTTGACCGTGCCACCTAGATATTTTTTTTGTCTTAAAATTGTAGGTGGCATGGTGGCTAAGGTGCTGGACTCCCATGTGGCTGACCATGGTTTGAGTCCTAGACCTGAACACTTGAAAATCACACTGGGCACATGTGTGTGCATACCTAAAATCCCAGGAAGAGAGTGGAGGAGAAGGGATTGCAACAGGGCCGTCTCCCCCCTAGGGGGTGATTTCTCACTTTCCATCTCACTGTCTCTCTCTGTCTCTCTGGCAAGCACACATGCCCTATGGCAAACACCTTAAAAACAAAATAGTACATATTGGGTCAGGTGGTGATGCAAATGGACTCACATAGAAGAGTTCCGGGGTTCCCACCCCATTGTTTCTTTAGATATGCATAATCACAGTAATATAAACTGATATTTCTCTCTCTCTCTCTCATGGAAGAGATAAATAAATAAACTTTAAATCACAGTACATATAAATAATACAAAAATTTAATTACTACTAAGCTCATAATAAAATACATCATTTCCTTGTCTCATAAGTTCCATTCCTTTATCCTATTTATTAGAAGCAACAATTTAAATTTCTCCTAGTTGTTTCTTCTTCTGACTCCTCCTTCTCCATATTTCTGAAAGGTGAATTGTATGTAGTTGCTTCTTCATGTGTCACTTACCCTTTTAATTTGACAGAGGGTGCGTGCACTTGCCAGAGAGAGACAGAGCAAGGGCATGGGAGAAAGCACCCCCCCACCCCCCCGCAGTGGGCATGGTATTGCTGTAATCCTTTCTCCTCCATCTCCCAATCCTGTCAGGCTTTGGAGCATCCATGCACATGTGCCTGGAGTGTTTGTCAAGCCTCCAGGACTGGAATTCAAACCATATGGTTAATTGTTTCTGACTCTCTTAATCACCAGGCTATGGAGCCAGCCTGATGTATCAGTTTTAGATAGTAGCTTTTTTTAAAAAAAGAATTATTTATTTAATTTTATTTATCATTAGTTTAAAATTTGTTACAGAGCACAAGTTCTTACCAGAGAGAGGCAGAGAGAATGAGAAAGTAAGCCACCTGGTCTGGGACTTGAACTATAGTTGGCTATGTGGGAGTCCAGTGCCTTAACCACCATGCCACCTGCTGGCCCCTACATAGTAGCTTTTGACTTCCTACTATTGGAAGACTAGGTAATGCCTCCCTACCCAACAAGGTGTCGTCATGCAGTGATCTCCTGCTCCTCGCAGCCTTCCTGCCATCCAGGATCGTGCCTGGTATGTTCAGGTTGACCCACGATCCAAACCCCAGGACTTCCTGTATGTCTCCAGTATCATACAATGGCTCTGTGTTGACCGTGCCACCTAGATATTTTTTTTGTCTTAAAATTGTAGGTGGCATGGTGGCTAAGGTGCTGGACTCCCATGTGGCTGACCATGGTTTGAGTCCTAGACCTGAACACTTGAAAATCACACTGGGCACATGTGTGTGCATACCTAAAATCCCAGGAAGAGAGTGGAGGAGAAGGGATTGCAACAGGGCCGTCTCCCCCCTAGGGGGTGATTTCTCACTTTCCATCTCACTGTCTCTCTCTGTCTCTCTGGCAAGCACACATGCCCTATGGCAAACACCTTAAAAACAAAATAGTACATATTGGGTCAGGTGGTGATGCAAATGGACTCACATAGAAGAGTTCCGGGGTTCCCACCCCATTGTTTCTTTAGATATGCATAATCACAGTAATATAAACTGATATTTCTCTCTCTCTCTCTCATGGAAGAGATAAATAAATAAACTTTAAATCACAGTACATATAAATAATACAAAAATTTAATTACTACTAAGCTCATAATAAAATACATCATTTCCTTGTCTCATAAGTTCCATTCCTTTATCCTATTTATTAGAAGCAACAATTTAAATTTCTCCTAGTTGTTTCTTCTTCTGACTCCTCCTTCTCCATATTTCTGAAAGGTGAATTGTATGTAGTTGCTTCTTCATGTGTCACTTACCCTTTTAATTTGACAGAGGGTGCGTGCACTTGCCAGAGAGAGACAGAGCAAGGGCATGGGAGAAAGCACCCCCCCACCCCCCCGCAGTGGGCATGGTATTGCTGTAATCCTTTCTCCTCCATCTCCCAATCCTGTCAGGCTTTGGAGCATCCATGCACATGTGCCTGGAGTGTTTGTCAAGCCTCCAGGACTGGAATTCAAACCATATGGTTAATTGTTTCTGACTCTCTTAATCACCAGGCTATGGAGCCAGCCTGATGTATCAGTTTTAGATAGTAGCTTTTTTTAAAAAAAGAATTATTTATTTAATTTTATTTATCATTAGTTTAAAATTTGTTACAGAGCACAAGTTCTTACCAGAGAGAGGCAGAGAGAATGAGAAAGTAAGCCACCTGGTCTGGGACTTGAACTATAGTTGGCTATGTGGGAGTCCAGTGCCTTAACCACCATGCCACCTGCTGGCCCCTACATAGTAGCTTTTGACTTCCTACTATTGGAAGACTAGGTAATGCCTCCCTCCCCCCCGTACCTTGTCCCAATATACACTCAATCCAACCTCTTCCTCATAACCTTAATATAGTTTTACTACAACTTAGGACAATATTACATGTTTATATTACTGTGACTATACATATCTAAATATGACTCACCAGAGTCATGTAATGTGCTATGATTATATTTTGTTTAGTTTTCTAAATATCTCTTAATAGTTCTTTTGCAAATTTCTGACAAGGCTCTAAGAGCTTTTCAGTGTGTTCACATAGAGCAGGTAACTTATCCATTCAACTCACGTTGAAAAGTCTCTTCTGAGGCTTTGACCCTGCCTTGGTCAGCCTGATTCTCCTGTCTGCATATCTGTCTTCTGGGTCTTTATTATCGCCTCAAAATTCCCTTCACCAGTTTCCTGTTCTGGTGGATCTATATCTTGTCCTTTGTTGTTTAAACAGTGAATGAGATACATGTTTTTAAAACTTCTCGTGTCTTAGAGGCCAGCAGGTGACATGATGGTTGAAGTGCTGGATTCCCACATGGCTGTCCATAGTTGAAGTCCCAGACCCGGTGGCCTGAGAATTACTCTTGGGCGTATGTGTGTGTGCTCAGGGTCCCTAGAGGAGAATGGAGGAGAAGGGATTTTGGTATGGCCAACCCCCCTGGGGGTGGTGGTGGCTTATCACTTCGTCTTTCTCTGTTTTTCTCCTGCAAGAGCACAAACCCTGTGACAAAAAAATCTAAAATAAATAAATAAATAAAGTGTCCTCAACCAAAGTGTCTATAGACTCTTTCTTAAAAGAAATGAACAAACTTTGCATGTCTAAAAATGCATTTATTCGGAATTTGGCTCAATATAAAGTTCAAAGTTAGAAAGAATATTCCGTCAGAATTTTGGCATTACTGCTCCATTGTGTGTGTGTGTGTTTTTAAGAATTATTTGATTTTAACTTTATTTACTATTATTATTATTTTCCAATTTAACCAGAAAAAGAGAGAGAAAGTGAGAAAGGAAGCCACCAGGTCTGAGACTTGAACCATGGTTGGTTATGTGGGAGTCCAGCGCCTTTAACCACCACACCACCTGCCAGCCCCACTGCTCCATTGTTTTAAACTATGCTGTGATGTTTTTGTTTTTTTTTTTTTTTTTGAGGTTTTCGCTATAGTGCTATAGGGAGCGGGCGCCAGGGCGCGTGCGCTCGCCAGACAGACAGAGAGAGACATAGAGACAGAAAGCGAGAAATCACCCCCCAGGGGGGATGGTCACGCCGCAATCCCTTCTCCTCCATTCTCCTCTCGGGATCTTGGGCACGCACGCACACGCGCCCGGCGTGAGATTTAAGCCACCGGGTCCGAGACGCGAACCGCGGTCGACTACGTGGGAGTCCAGCGACATAGCCATTACGCTAACTGCTGGTTCCCTATGCTGTGATGTTTTGAGAAGCCTGAAGTCATTTTTCTCCTTGATCTTCTATATAAAATTTGTCGAAGTTCTCTCTGGAAGTTTTCCAGATCCTCTCTTCATCTTTGGTGATCCGAAACTTCACTGTAATGTCCTGTATGTGGTAGTTTCTCACTTGCCGTGCTGAGTACTTTAGAGGCCTTTTCATATGTTCTCATACTTCTGTGATAATTTTCTTTATTCTATTTTCTCTGTTCTTTCTCCCTGGAAATCCTATTAGTTTGCAGTTCTGATTCTTGAATTAATTCTCTCATTCCCTTCTTCATATATTTGTTCAATTTTCTAGGAGATTTTTCATTTTTTTTCCCCATCTAATCTTTCTACAGAATTTTTAGTACCTACTTTCATATGTGAGATTTTCAAGAATTTTACTTTGGTCTTTTGTTGTAGAAACCTATTCTTATTTCATGGATGGTTTTCTCCCTGAGGAAATGATAAGAGATCTCTTTTCAGGGTATAGACTTCTGCCTGACCATGCCTCCATCTCCTCCTCTGCTATTTCTGGTGTCCTTGAGTTTGGTTCCTCTCTGGTCCAACTTTTCTAGAGGATGAACTTCTCTGCTATAGTCAGACTAGGGAAGAGATAGTCCCATGGCTATGTGAATTAAGGAGGAACTCTGGGACTTTATTTTTTAAATATAGACTCTCAGTCGGTCTTCCTATTTTAACTCCATTCTCGGGACCAGTAGGTGGCGTGGTGGTTAAGGTGCTGGACACTCCCACATGGCCGACCAGAGTTCGAGTCCTGAATCTGGTGGCTTGCTTTCTCACTTCCTCTCTATCTCACTCTCACCCTCTGTCTCTGGTCAAATTAATAAATGAATGAATGAATGAATAAAATAAAATAAAATAAATAATTATTTAACTCCATTCTCCTCTCTGCCTTTGGAGTGACTCCATACTTCCAGTCCTTAGGCCTTTCTGGGATTCCAAGGCTCACATGAGCTTACCACTTGTCAACATCCTGGCTGCAGACAGCCAGGATTGAGCTATCTTTATGCCAGTTACTGCTCCTCTATTGACATGTCACTACCAGAATATTTGACATCTGTCTTCAATTGTCTTTTATTCCATATTTTTAATCCTTTAGGGTTTATACTTTTTAAGATCTATTACCCTCATTTTAGGGACATTTTGGGAGGAGATAGAGAGAAACATGTATGTCTTGTCATATTTAATTAAAACTGAGGTTGTCCCTCCCAGGCATTAGAATGAGGTAGCTGTGAAGTAAGATCTCGTTTCTGGAGGAAAAGCTAAGTCCAAAAGCTAAGAACCGGATGGATGTTCGCAGCACTTTGTCTGCCACTTGGAACAATGGCAGGAGCTGCAGAACTTATCTCCACCATTTTGCTGATTGTTTCTCATCTCCCTAGTTGCAATTTAACAACCGCAGCTTATTTTACAACTTTCCCTGAGAGCCTCTCCTCTCAGGGAAAGTTAAACTTCTGAGTGGCAGTTGCAGAGAAGAACGATGAAGTCAGGAGTCTGCAGCAAGGGAGAGATGGGGGTGGGCAGTACTTACCCTCTCTCGTTTGCCCATTGCTCTACTGAGAGGAGAAAGTCTGGGATTAAGGGAGGGACATTCGCCTTTGCCCTCTCCTGCTGTCACCTCTAGCTTGCCAGAGGTAGTCAGACTTAGTAGGGTGCTGGTTGGGGCTCAACAGGATCTGTCAGTGGCTTTAAATATGCCAGAAGTGGCAAACAGCTCTGCAGGTTTGGGAGACATTGCTACCCCTCTGGTTACCCTGACAGGCTTCCCTGGAAATATAACTCATTTCAGTGGGCAAGAGAGCTGCACCTGCTCTCCTTTGATCTCACCTGCAGGTGGCAGAGACTCAGGGTGTAACTGGGAGTACCCCACTTTGCTTCCTGGCTTTTATGAACTTGGTCAAATATTAAACAGCTGTATCAGCCCTTCTTTAGGACACTAACTACTTTTTCTCCTCATCAGAAACGTGTGCCGTCAATAATGGGGGCTGCGATCGCACCTGTAAGGATACCTCGACAGGTGTTCACTGCAGCTGTCCTGTGGGATTCACTCTCCAGTTGGATGGGAAGACATGCAAAGGTAGCCTTCGTGTCTGCAGGGAGGCTGGGTGCCCTGTTAGAAGGGAAGGCCCAGGCTGCTCACGTGTGAGGGTAAAGGCAGCTCTCCCCTCCACTCCTGAGTGACTCTGGATTTGCTTATGATTCAAATCGATGGACACTTCTTCCCTGGGCTCGTGGGAGGTTATAATTGAGTAAACTGAATTAGAACCAACATGATTACACTAACTGTCGAGAAGGTCAGTCTCTCCGAGCATGAAGTAATCCATTTCAGGTTGTGGTCTCGGTAGAAAAAGGCAATTTAAGGAAATATTCGATCGAGAAGATACTATGAACACATCATAAATAATAACCTAGAGATTATTATATAAATAACAGCCAAGATTATTATCCAGAGAACTTAATTAATAACTGGACCATTAACTTTGACTGATGAAGAGAGACCACAATGACTTGCTAGTGTTTCATGGGCAAGAGTACAAAGGATTAGTCCTTGAGGATGATAAAGAGTAGATAGCCAGTTACCAGCTGAAACTGCAGAAAGATAAGATTCAGTAGCAGGAATCACTTAAAAACATCGAGGCTGTTTGATCGTCGTGTAATTTGCCAAAACAAATGTGCTAGTCTCTTAGGGCTTTAATCATTAAACTAGAATAGAAAGTGCATTAAGGTGAGCCATCCAGGACATGGCCATCCTTTCCCATCGTTTGTTTCCTTAATGCCGGCCAAGGGTGGTGTATGGCAGAGCTCTCCAGAGAATGGGGCACTATCTTTCAACACTGTCTCATCCAGAGAAAAAAACATGTAAAATTAAAAACACTAGCAAACATTCTTCAATGCCTTTATAAGTCTGTTTTGATTTCGGAGAATAACGCACATACACTCAATAGCACTGCAGGGATTTGTGGGAAAGTTCTGCTCTCTGATTTGCCCATGCTTTCCTGTTACAGATATTGATGAATGCCAGACCCGAAATGGAGGTTGTGATCATTTCTGCAAAAACACCATAGGCAGTTTTGACTGCAGCTGTAAAAAAGGATTTAAATTATTGACAGATGAGAAGTCTTGCCAAGGTATGTGCTGAAAACGTAGCCGTTCTGTGTGATGGCCCCTGAAGGGGAGCAAAGATGACAACTCCGCCCTGGCAGAGACCTGCTTGCCAGGCTTTTTTGACGAATTCATAGTCCAGCCTCCAACCTAGGCTGCACTCGTTTCATCTGTTAGGTAGAATAAAAGTACTGATGTAGCTCACAGGTATATTTTGGAAATTGAGCTGTTAATGATTAGAGAACACCTCGAAGAATCCATCTGGTGTGATCACAGCAGAGCTGGCTGCTAGAAATGGAAGAGAACACAGAATGCAAACAGGGTTGCACTGGGATGTAGAGATTATAAATAATTTTCCTTTTTGAAAGTTTCCTTTGGGACCAGCAGGTAGCATGGTGGTTAAGAGTGCAGGATTCCCAAGTGACTGACTGCGGTTTGAATCTCAGACCTGACAGCTTGCTTTCTCGCTTAACCTCACTTTCGCTCTGTCCCTCTCTGGTCAAATTTAAAAATAAATAAATAAAGTTAAATAAAATAATTCTTTAAAAAATAAATTTAAAAGAGAAAGTTTCCTTTAATGTTGCTGAATTTATAACATAAATTGGTAGCAAAAGTCTGTAGATCTAGGGGCCAGCAGATGGTGTGGTGGTTAAGGCACTGGATTCCCACATTGCTGACAGTTTGAGTCCTGGAAACAGTGGCTTGAAAATCACACCAGGCACATACATGCCCCAAATCCCAAGAGGAGAATGGAGGAGAAGGGGTTGTGATATGTCCATACCCCCTGGGGATGAGTTCTCACTTTCCCTCTCTCTCTAGCTCTCTCTTGCGCACGCCAGCAAGTATGTACACTCTAAGGCAAAAATACATATAGAAAAAAAAGTCTGTAGATTTAGTTAACATTGCTTCTTAGCAAATAGTTGGAGTCTATTTATAATCAAGATTATGTATTGGACCAGCCTTGTGGCCTAGTGGTTAAGGGAGCCAGATCCCACATGCCTGAGTGTGGCTTGAAAAACTTGTCAGGTGCATGTGTGTGCATGCCCCAAATCCTGACAGGATAGAGAAATGTAGAAGAAGGGATTGTGGCATGACCATGTCCCATTGCAGGGCTCTTTCTCTCTCTCTTTCTATCTGTTTCTCTCTGGAGAGTATATATGCCCTCTGCTAATAAAAAATAAAATAAGATATCATGTACCAGTTGGTTTCTTCCTTAGAGACCTTATTAGAGACCTTATTTTGAATGGCCAGCTTTTGATTCTTAGGGAGAGAGAGGACAGAGCGGAAAGGACCAGACCATGGGGAGGAGGTGCTGGTTAGTCCTTTGACAGGATTACAGATACCTTCTCAAATGCATCCTTCCCATATGAAGAGTGCAACAAGAAGACTTTTTGGGTAGCAATTATTGTTGATATTTTGGGAGATGGGAAGCTCTTTTGAGGGGGCATCATTTATATTTCTAGTTAAGCACCAGTTTTTTGTTTGTTTGTTTGTTTTAGGTATTTTTGCTATAGGGTGCATGCACTCACTGGAGAGACAGACAGAAAGAGAGCCAGAGAGAAAGAAAGTGAGAAATCACCCCCCAGAGGGAAATGACCAAACCACAATCCCTACTCCTCCATTCTCCTCTCAAGATTTTGGCCAGGCACGCACATGTGCCAGGTGTGAGTTTCAAGCAACTGGGTCCAGCACTTGAACTGCAGTTGGCCAGGTGGAAATCCAGTGCCTCAACTACTATGCCACCTCTAGTCCCTAGTTAAGCACCTTTTATATCACATTGATATACAGGAAGAGGCTCTCAGAAAAGATATGCTGGTATTTTTGCTCCCTATCAGGGAATAAAGGTTGCCTAATTTATCTTATTAAAAATCTCAGAGTTAAATTAAGATTGGGAATATGTGGGGCCTGCAGGTGGTGTGGGGTTAAGGTGTGGATTCCCACATGGCCGACCATGGTTTGAGTCCTGGACCCAGTGGCTTGAAAATCACAATCAATCAATCAGTCAATCAATGTTAAAAAAATATTGTGGTGGGGACTGGCAGGTGGTGTGGTGGTTAAGGTGCAGGACTCCCACATGGCTGACTATGATTTGAGTCCCAGACCTGGCAGCTTGCTTTCTCACTTTCCCTTTCTCTCTCAGTGTCTCTCTGGTCTAATTTAAAAAAATAAAAAATAAAAAATAAAATTAAATAGATAATTTTTTGAAAAAAAAAAAAAACTTGGGATATATGTACCATCACGTTTTTTCAAAACTTTATGGCATGTTTAGGTTTTTCTTCTCTTTGGTTTGTTCTTCGTAGTATATAACTTGTCAAGCAGTTCAAACATTCTTCTTTAAAGTCAGTGAGTTAATTCTAGATGATATTTGTGTAGTTTTCTTCAGTTTGACTTGGAAAGCAAATTTACCATTTCACATAATGTTTCATAATGTATGGAGCGAGCAGTACTGTTTACGCTGTGTAAACACATTAAAAAGGAATTAGAAAAGTGATCTCATTATTTTTGGCAATGCAAAAGTCCCTAGAGAGCAGCCCAAGTTAGCTACTGAACGAGTCCCCCTAGCTCAACAATGCCTGATATTAATAACAGATTTCACAGAATGGCATCAATTACTTGGAAAGAAACTAACCTTTTCCCATTTTTCACTGATCAGTTTTGGTAGAACAAATATTTGCACAGAACAAATTCACTGATGAAATTGCCAAGATTTCTGGGAAAAGCTAAGGATGAAGAGGTTTTACGAGAGTTTTCCCTTTTTTATTTCACTTTTTCATTCCTCCTATTCCTTCCAAATGTTTGTGTTTTGTTAATGTAGTTTCTTGTGGTGCACTCAGTGTTGAGAAAGTGATCTAGCTGTGGTGTAGCTGGCGTCCACCGAGGGCTGCCCTGGTCCTGGTTTATCCATTCGGAGACTCCAGTCATAACACTGTTAAAACCCTCCAAAGAATTGAGAGAATGAAGCACTGAAATTCTACTCTACCAAAATAAGCGCTCTTCCAGGTCGGGGGAGAGGGATGATTAGACAATTGCAGCTTCCTGAGGCTGGTGTGGATGACCCCGGCTGCAGCTAAGGATGCATCCACACTGAACCAGAAGCTAGGAGACACGTGAGACTGAACCGTGGGAGAGGAACAAAGCCAAAGGCTTGGCCAAGGGCATCCGGTTTAGGACTTAACTGCCAGATGTCTGTATCTGGAACAGAACATTAGTGAGGTTCTCAGGGTTAAGGCTTTCTTTTAGTGGAGAGGGTATTAAAACCCAGGATTAACTGGTCTCTTGGGGCTAGAAGACTCGTTTCAGAAATATCAGAAAGAGATGGGGCGCAGATTTGCTCTCCAAGTGTTTTCTCCTTATAATTCAGTATAGCTTATAAAATGACTGTTTTTGTTTTTGTTTTGTTTTCTTTCTTTCTTTTTTTTCTTAAGAGAGATTTTTTGCTATAGGGCACATGTATTCGCTAGAGAGACAGAGAGAGAGAGAGAGAAGGGGGGGAGTGAGAAATCACCTCTCCCCTTCCCCTGGGAGGAAGCCACGCCACAATTCTTTCTCCTCCATTCCCCTCTCAGGATTTTGGGCACACACACTTGCACCTGGCATGAGTTTTAAGGCACCGGGCCTGGGATTCAAACTGCGGTTGACTACGTGGGAATCCAGGGACATAACCATTATGCTATCTGCTGGTTCCAAAATGACTGTTGTTTTACCGATAGCAATTTAACAATAATAACACATAGCTAACACCTTATAGTTTACAAAACCCTTCTTAGATATGTTATCCCACTTGCAGCCCTGCAAATAAGCATGAGTGAGAGAGACTGTGCTTCAAAGCGAGTGCAGTTGCAACAGCATTTGGGAGTAAGGGCCCTGGCAGTGAGTATGAGGGGGTCTTGGGGAGTTCATGTAAAACACATATTATGAAAAAAATCTATGGATTGCTTTTAAAAACTTTTGGCACCAAAATTAATCTTGGAGAGTTCATGTAAAACACATATTATAAAATAAATCTATGGATTGCTTTTAAAAACTTTTGGCACCAAAATTAACTTGTATGTTAATTTCATTTTGCTTTGAACTTCTTACAGTCCCCTTGAATACTTGCTGTGGGCTGTTCAATACTTTCTTTAACACGAATTAGCGAAGTGAATACACGAATTAGCGAAGAGAATGTCAACATTCACCCGAGTGTGTTCTTTCTGTAGTTGTTCAGCAAGGCCCTTTCTGTACTCAGCATTGGTTTCAGCTCCCTCTCCCTCCACAATTGCAGATGTGGATGAGTGCTCTTTGGATGGGACCTGTGACCACAGCTGCGTCAACCACCCTGGCACATTCGCTTGTGCTTGCAACAAAGGCTACACTCTCTATGGCTTCACTCACTGTGGAGGTGAGCAGACTGCCCCTACAGAGTCAGAGGTAGGATGCAGCAGGGCCTAGAGGGGAGCAGGGCCCACTGCAGAGGCTTATTTTCCACCTTGGAGAATGAAAGGTACATTCTGGTCACTCCCTGTGCCGTAGCAGGGAGTCCACTGCTAAAGGAAATTGCTCCACATTTATCCCTTGAACATGGCGTAGGTGAATTGGAGCAGGGGAGAGCTGAGCTTTCTCAGCTGCGAATTCTTTGTTGACTGTGTTGACACGTGGTTGTATTCATAGGATGGGAGGGTCTCTCTGGAGCTGATGCTCTTTCCTTGAAACATCCCAGCATATCGTAAACTTGGAGTCCTCAGGGAGGCTTGAAAAGGCACCCACCAATCTCACAGCTCTGCCGTGTGTAGGTAATGACTGTGAACACTTGGTTTGAGCCCCACAAGGAGGTCTTCGAGCTGGAAGTGCAGTCATGGAGTTTCTCTCCCCAGCTCTACCTAGTTAGCAACACGTTTTCATGTCTCAGAGCCTTATGTTCAAGCAGCCCAGCATCAGTCAGATTTGGTACCAGCTGGCTCCCTCTCCACGCCTCCTGCTCACCAGTCACCCAGCTACCTTAGAGATCTAGATCCAGATTCCGATCTAGAAGTCAAGGTTTTCCAGGGTGATTCTGAGAACCTGCAGGATTTGGGAACCACCGGCCTCAATACGTTATGCCTCATCTTGAGTTCTCCACATAAGAATGGAAGTGGCATTGCTATCAGCTGAGTGGTTTCCCTTCTGCTTTGCTACACACCCATGGCAGGGCTAAAAACGCACTCTCTGCAGTCCATCAAGGACCCCATGGAAATGTCCCCGAGTCCGGATGTGTATCTGACTTCAGGTGGAGCCATCTTCCAACCTGGGCTCAGGTTCAGGTTGAGGGGGTTAGTGCATGCCGCTTCCGTCCATCCTTCGGCTATGTAAATGGTCAAACAGGGAGCCTCTACTCTGTCACTCTCCCTTGGTGTGTAGCCCAGGAGGGTGGTGGAGATTTAAATGAGAAGCCTGTATAGGACATCTGAAAGTGGAATGTGGCCCCTCTGAGGATCCCTAACAGAGGAATGACTTGACCGAAGATGGAACTCCAGGGAACAGCAGATGGTGTAATGCTTACGTTGCTGGACTCCCACGTAGTCAACTGTAGTTTGAGTCCCGGACCTGGCAGCTTAAAACTCATACCAGGCATGTGTGTGTGCGTGCCCAAAATCCTGAGAGATTTTGGTGGTGAAGGGGTAACAGTGTGGCCACCTCCCCATCCCCTGAAGGTGGTGATTTCTCACTTTCTGTCTCTCCAGCAAACCTACATGCTCTATAGCAAAAAAAAAAAACAAAAAACAAAAAACAAACAAACAAAAAAACACCCTCTCTCTCTCTCAAAAAAAAATAAAAAGAATGGAACCTGAGCCCACCCTAGCAAGGTTCATGCTGGGAATCCCCTGGGTGGGGAGTGGGGTGTGGTTAGCTGGCACCTTCCCTTCACTAAGTGGCTTTGAACCCTGTGACTCCACTGCTGTTCCTTCCTCAAGGAAGGAATGGTGTCACCCCAGGCAGTGGTGGTCACTGTGACAGGACAGTGTTTTGTTCACAGACACCAACGAGTGCAGCATCAACAACGGAGGCTGTCAGCAAGTCTGCGTGAACACAGTGGGGGGCTACGAATGCCACTGCCACCCTGGGTACAAGCTCCACTGGAACCAGAGAGACTGTGTGGGTAAGGGGCGCCGAGGTGCAGCTCAGCCAGCGGGGCTCCCTGACAACGGCGCGTCCCTGTGCGCCTGCCCGCCCCAGTCCCACTGCCCGGGAGCACGCTGGCCCTCCCTCTGCCATCCTCCTCCCCTCAGCAGCAGCAGCCAGTCCTTACACAGTTGATAAACAGGAGATACTTGGCAGGCTCTTGGGTGTTTCCCTCTGTGCTTTTGCGGAGGTTGGAACTCACTTGTTCTCAGAGTTGCTTTTGTTGCATGAACGAAGTGGCACGTGAGGGGCTCATTTCCTTTGGTATGAGTGGGGCCTGGCGCCCGCATCCTGTGTGGGCACTGGCTCTACCTTCTCTTCTTGGAACCTTGGGTGCCTGGGACTCAGCAATCCTTGTCACACCTGGATGTGTCCTCTGTCTGTAAGTGTCTGTGTTCTGTCCCGTCTAGAGGCGAAGGGGCTCTTGGCCCCTAGTGCGTCACCTCGCGTGTCCCTGCATTGCAGTAAGAGCAGTGGAGGAGACAGGTGCTTCCTCAGATGTTACTCTGGCATTCACCTCTCCGCAGGTGAGTGGGTCCCTGGGGCAGGTCCTCATACCAGGGCCAAGCCTCTCAGTGTAAGATGCCTGTAGAGGGCTCTAGGGCCTTGATTATCTGGTCCCCCAAACCTCCTACTACCAGAGACCCATCCTTTGAGACCCCCTAGCGGCCCATGTGGCATGGGAGTGGGAACGATGTTAGTGGCTACCAGGATAGTTTGTGACATTTTTACAACTTTGACAATCCTCCTTCTGTCTGTCAGGACTGCAAGAGGCCTACTCTGTCACCTGCGGCACTTCCTCTCCTCTGAGGAGCAAACAGCACAAGTCAAATGATTCTGCTTTTGGGGGTAACTACCAAATTCAATGGGCTTCATATGCGGGGTGCTGTTTTGGGGCTTTGGTTTCGTTCCCTCTTTGTCTCCTCAGTGCTATGAGCTGTTACAGGGCATTCTTGCCAGCAGGCAACCCTGGTGCCTCACTGAGCAGGCTGACTCACCCATGTAACAGCTTCTCACTGAGCGTCCACTGTGTGCTCAGAGGCGCCGTGTTCAGCCCTGGTGTGTCGTCATATGGGACAGAGACTCAGCTGAGACAGGAGACTCATTTCTCCCAAACTCCCTGTGCCCAAGAGCAACTCAAAAGGTGCCCAGCAGAAAATGAGCCTGGGGGCAATGGTATTGATGGAGATAGGAGGCCTGGCAGAGCAGGGGGAACAGGGCTTCTTTCCTGAGAAGGGGCCCAAACCCTTTCCAGTTTATTATCATTTTAAATTGTGCGGGTGTGTGTGTTTAAATTTATTTCTTCTTTGAGTAAGAGAAAGAAAGTGGCAGACAGAGAGACAGAAATCCCTAATAGAGTCTTCATGCCGTGATCCACCCTCAGTTCAGATGGCCTGGATCACAGGTACATGCATGCCTACCTGGCATGATCAGGGAGGTCCTGGAACATGAACCCAGGACCTTTCCCATTTGGGTTCAATTACATTAGGTTCAATTACATTACCACTGTGCTATGCCTGACCCGTTTTTGGTTTGTTGGAGGAATGAAAGAATGAATCTGAAGTTTTCAGAAGGCCTCATCCCCCCCAGATATAAATACCTTTGTCACTTCCTGAGAATATCTGATGAGGTCCACATTACATCTTTTTTTTTTTTTTAATTGTCAGGGGGCAATTTAAAAAACTTGCTTGGGACCGGCAGTTAGCATAATGGCTATGTCACTGGACTCCCACGTAGTCGACCGTGGTTCGCGTCCCGGACCCGGTGGCTTAAAACTCATGCTGGGTGCGTGTGCGTGCGTGCCCAAGATCCTGAGAGGAGAATGGAGGAGAAGGGATTGCGGCGCGGCCATCCCTCCTGGGGGGTGATTTCTCGCTTTCTGTCTCTCTCTCTCTGTCTGGCAAGCACATGCATCCTAAAGCAAAAAAACAAAACAAAACAAAACAAAAAAACCTCTCCAATAAAAAACTTGCTTGCCACATAGAGACAGAGTGATAGAGACAGAAAGAGAGAGGGAGGAACCCCGCCCCTCAGGGGGATATGGTCATGCTGCAATCTCTTCTCCTCCATTTCTCCATCCTGTTGGCATTGGGGGCACACATGTACACACTAGGCCCAGCATTGTTCCCAAACCTCCAGGGCCAGGATTCAAATTGTGGTTGGCCAAGATCTGGCTTCCTTAACCACTAGTTCATGGGGCTGGCCCCCACATTACATCATTCTGTTCATATTATATGTTTGAGCAACACTAGAGACCCAAAGCAAGACAACAACAGCTTAGATTATTGACTGAACAGTTCAACTATGGCATGCATTAGCTGTTTAACCCACACTACAATCCTCTGGGGCAATGTCACTATTATTTCCAACCAGATGAGGAAACTGAGGCTCAGCGAGGTGAAATAACTTACCCAGAATGACTTGGATGAGAAACAGAAGAGGGCCAGCCGGTGGCATAGAGGTTAAGGTGGCTGAATCCTACATTGCCAACTGAGCAGTTCAAGTCCTGGAGCTGGTAGCTTGATTGACACATCAGGTACCTGTGTATGCAGGCCCAAAATTCTGAGAGGAGAATGGAGGAGAAAGAATTGGGCATAGCAATACCCCTTGGGGGATGCTTTCCTACTTTCCCTCACCCTGTCTTTCTCCAGTATGTGCATGTGCCCTATAGCAAATTGAAAAGAAAGGAAGAAAGAAAGAAAAATGCCAGGATTTGAACCCAGAAAAATCCAGGCCCAGAGTCTTAAATACTAGCCTTCATTACGTCTCTTGCAGGATGTTTGGACTCAGCCTGAACAGATACCATGGTCTGTTTCACTGAATTCCTCAGTGGCGGTTTCTTAGTGATTTAGGCCATCCCAAGGGTAAACAGCAAATAGCTAACAATTTTTCTGTTCTTACTAAGTACCAGGCACTAAGCCAAACTTTTTTTTTTTTTTCATTATCTCATTTAATCCTCTCAACAGCCTAGAAAGGTAGATACTATTATTATATTTATTTTACAGATGAGGAAATTGAGGCTGAGGGAGATCGTGAAACTTACTCGAGTTCTCACCACCAGTCAAAGGGTGGGGGCGGGGGACTTTAATCTAGGCCATTGGCTCCAGAACCTAACATGTGGTTAAGACTGGCCCTGAGAGGAGGACATCATTCTGCATGTCAGGCCCTTAAAGAGGAATCCTTGCTCCCTCCCAGATGCTGGGAGTCCCAGCCAAGTTTTGTGAATGCTATCTTTGTCTGGAACGTCAGATCCCTCAGTTCTTTACTGATAGGACGGGCTTGAGAGAACTTCAAAAAGTTTGTAGAAAAATGGAATTAAAGAATGAGTTTATTTTGGCATAAAAAAGATATATTGAGGGGCCAGCAGGTGGTGTGGTGGTTAAGACACTGGACTTCCACATGCTCGACCACAGTTTGAGTCCTGGACCTGGCAGCCTGCTTTCTCACTCCCTCCCGCCCTCTCTCACTCTGTTCCTCTCCGGTCAAATAAAAATAAATAAATAAATAAAGTTCAATAAAATAATTCTTTAAAAAAATATTGACATCCATGTGTAGTTTTTTTTTAATAATGCACATTTTCCATGAACTTTTTAAATGAGCTTTCTTATTTTATTTATACTTATTTATTTTAAAGAATTATTTATTTAATTTTTAATTTATTCATTCATTTATTTTAATTTGACCAGAGAGAGACACACAGAGAGAGAGGGAGAAAGTGAGAAAGCAAGCCACCAGGTCCAGGACTCGAACCGTGGTCGGCCATGTAGGAGTATTCAGTGCCTTAACCACCATGCTACCTGCTGGTCCCAATTTATATTTATTTTTTACTTGCTGGAGAGCACATGTGCTTGCTAGAGAGAGACAGAGAGAGAGAGAGAAAGCACCCTCCCAAATGGAGAATGGTGGGACCAGCAGTTAGCATAATGGCTATGTCGCTGGACTCCCACGTAGTTGACCACGGTTCGCGTCCTGGATCAGGTGGCTTAAAACTCACGCCGGGCGTGTGTGCGTGCGTGCCCGAGAGGAGAATGGAGAAGGGATTGCGGTGTGGCCATCCCCCCTGGGGGGGTGATTTCTCGCTTTCTGTCTCTCTGTCTCTGTCTGTCTGGCAAGCGCATGCGCCCTATAGCAAAAACCTCTCAAAAAAAATAAATAAATAAAATGGAGAATGGTCACACCTAAATCTCTTCTCCATTCCTCTATCCTATTGGGATGTGGGGCACATACTCACATGCACACAGCATGTCCTTCAAGCCCTTGGCCAGAATTTGAACTGTGGTTGGCCATTTGAGATCAGGCTTCTTTAACCACTAGGCATGTGGGCAGCCCAAACATCTCCTCTTATTTAGGAAAATATACCCTTTACCATTTCCCTCAACAGATTTATCCAAATTTGAACTAAAAGATTCTGGGCTTCTTTCTCAGGAAGATACAAAAATGATCTCATCATTCATCTTGCTGTTGAGGCTGTTTTTGCCCCATCTTCATTATATATATATACATATATATTTTTTTTTTTGAGAAGTTTTTGCTATAGGGCATATGCGCTCGCCAGAAAGACAGAGAGACAGAAAGTGAGAAATCACCCCACCCCCGAAGGGAGGACGGACATAATGCAATCCCTTTTCCTCTTGGGATCTTGGGCACGCACGCACATGCACCCAGCATGAGTTTAAGCCACTAGGTCTGGGACTCAAACTGCAGTTGACTACATGGGAGTCCAGCAACATAGCCATTATGCCAACTGCTGGTCACCCATCTTTGTTATATTCTAACATTGGATTTATTTCTGAGGGGATAAATATAGCCCCTAGGAGGCTCCTGGTGTCCTCAGTACAGGTGAGGGACACTTTATGATCCAAACCTTTCTTGGTCTCAGGGTAAGAGAAGGGCCTAGGGTGAGCAGCATGTGGTGGGCCCCACCTGTTGTTTGCCTTCCTCTGCCTCTGAAGGTAACATCTCTCACTTGTTTCTTTCTGAAGATGTCGCCATCGTCAGGACAAGTGTAACCTTTAAACTAAATGAAGGCAAGTGTAGTTTGAAAAAGGCTGAGCTGTTTCCTGAGGGTCTGCGACGAGCACTACCAGGTACGGCATCAGATGGCTGGTGCAGGCAGCTTGCCTGCATGTTGGGACAGGGGCCTGGGGCCAGTCAAGCTGGAGGTCTGCGGGAGGGCCATGCAGCTGTCCAGCTGGTCGAGCACCCATCAGATGGGGTTGAACCATCCAACATCTCCAGAGCCTCTCCCCATGGGAGGAAGAAGAGCCCAGCCTTCCACTGCTGTGTGGGGACTAGACTTTAGCATTTCCTTTGCGAGACGCAGTTGGTGAAACTCGGGGGAAACCTGTGGGTTCCTAGGAATTGATAAGGCTCAAGAAGAATGAGCAATTTGTGGTCATAGTGGGTTAAATTTTCTAGATCTTTGAGTGTGCTTGAAATATAAGCCAAAGAAATGAAAAAAGGTCTGGCTCAGAAAGGATAACTTTGATGAACAAAGATGTAATATCCAGCTTTCCTGCTGCGTCTGCTGCTGGGAAGTAATGACTGTGTTGGCTTCAGCAGAAAAAATCCCATCCAAGTAGAGCTGGCCTCATTGACAAGAGTGGACTCTAACCATTCTCTCTCTTCCCCAGTTCACACTTCCAGGGTTATTTCATAGAATACAAGGGGTGTTCAAAACCTCATCGAAAATGCATATTATGAAAAAACCTCGCATAGATTTCAATTTTTTTCCTTCTGGTAGCAAAATAAATTTGTACTTTCATTTCATTTTTCCACCAAATTTTTTAAGTCCTCCCGTACTTCTGAAGATTAAAAGAAAGATCAGGATTCTTGTATTAGGAAGGCTTGTTTTCTTAATCTACACTCAAATCATATAAACAAACATAAAGTTTACTGTAGTCATTTTTGACTATCTATTTTAAGTAAGAAACCATGATCAAGTTTGACATCTCCACTCGATGGAATATTGTGCGCCTATTAAATGTATGTTTTCAAAAAACACAGGAAAATATTTTTGTTATAAAGCTGAGATAGCAAAAGGAGAGTAACTCCTTGTATAGCTCATATAATCCATCTCGTATAAGAAAAAGTGTGATGAAAAGAAAGAAAATTCACTGTATCATTAGTAGTGGTTACATCTGGGTGGAAGGGTGATAGAAGATTTAGAAACTTTTTTTCCTGAATTTTCCAAATTCTCCATAGTGGGTATTTACACTTTTAAATCAGGGGAGAAATAATCATTTAAAAATAGATTTGGTTTGTGATTTATTTATGGGCTTGTACCAGTGTTAATTTCTTAGCGTTAATATATGTATGATGTTAATGTAAGATGTTATCATTCAGGGAAACTGTATGACCTCTCTATAATCTTAGCCACTTGTCTGTAAATCTGAATTTATTTCAAAATGAAAAGTTTAAGGAATAATTACGGGAAAGTTAAAAGGGTTCAAAAAGTGAAATAAAGTTAAAAACTTCAGAAAGAACATCTGTTTAGTTTAAGATTTGAAATTAACCTTTTAAAAAGGTAAAATAGCTATTTAGGGGGGAAGTATAGAGGAAACCAATTGGCCTTCTTCCTTTGACTCCCAATGACCAATTGCTTTTGACATCCCTGTAATGTGAAAGATGAACATGATGCAGGTAATACTTCAGTTCAATAAAGTAAGACAAATCAAAATGGAGACAAAAGAATTGTGTGGCTGATACAGGGGACCTGCTCTGGGTTCAGTTCAGCCATTGCACGTTAATACAGTCACCCGCAGCAGGGGAGAAAGAAGACAGCTGAAGGGAGGAACAGACAGACGTGTGCAAAGCCCTGCCCCAAGCAACACTTCAGCTCTCATCCTATGCACCTTCACGATACCGTTCAGTTCTGTTGACTCTCTGTGCCATTTGTTGCTCCTGGCTAATTAAAAATGAGACCTCACCATTGAGGTGCTTTCCGGCTCGTCCTTCAGGTTGGAATTATTCCAAGGGCAGTGTGCCTGAACGCAGGAGTTGATTTCCTCTCTGCCTATGCTCACTCCTTATTTGCAGCCTCAGCCCCAGCTGGGTGCACACACCACAGTCCAGCTTTAAGAAAGCCGACTGTGAAAACGAGCGTGCACCTTGGCAAACCGTCAGTCAGGAAAAGCGCCCCCGCTTCTCGTTCCTTCACACATGTGGCCAGGCCAGTCAGAAACCTCAGCATTTATCCACGAAAGGAATTTTCAATAGCTAAATTGTAAAGTGATGCAGGAGGCAGAATTGGCTCTACAAAATGAAAATGTCACCGTGCTCCAGGCTGCGAGCTTGCAGCGCCTTGGCATCTGGAATGAATCACGTAGTCCCCTGAGAGTCGTTTTAATGAAATGTTTACTGAGTTCTAGCGAATGTTCGACTGAGTGCTTTGCCAGGATTTGGCTTCCGATAATTTTGTTTCTTCATACAGAGAAGCACAGCTCAGTAAAAGAGAGCTTCCGCTACGCAAACCTTACATGCAGCTCCGGCAAGCAAGTCCCGGGAGCCTCTGGCCGACCAAGCTCCCCTAAGGAAATGTTTATCACTGTTGAGTTTGAGCTTGAAACTAACCAAAAGGAGGTGACAGGTTGGTTTGCAAACAGTGTGGGGCTTCTCACAGCTTGCTCCCTATTTCTTCGCTTTCTCTTTTCATCATTCTTGGGGAAAGGATTAGTGCAAACTCTGAAGTATCTCCTGTTTGTTTGTTTCACCCCTAAACTAAGCCAAATTGGTTTGGAATCTGATATTTTTCTCTGCTTCATAAAAACCGAAAGCTGCCATTTTGGTCGACAAATTTCTGTTTGAATCAAGTGCTGCCCTGCCTGCTAGATGCCCACAGCCAGGTCCCTTTCCATGTAGTCCACAGGGAGCCCAGGGTGTTGGTGGGTCCCACACCTGGTCTGGACGCCCCCACTCGCTGCAGCCTGACCTCTTCCACACTGCTGCCCCTCTTGTTTCCGTAGCTTCTTGTGATCTGAGCTGCATCGTGAAGCGAACTGAGAAGCGGCTGCGGAAAGCCATCCGCACACTCAGGAAGGCTGCCCACAGGGAGCAGTTTCACCTCCAGCTGTCAGGGATGGACCTCGACGTGGCTAAAAAGTCTCCCAGAACATCAGAACGCCAGGCAGAGTCCTGCGGAGTGGGCCAGGGCCATGCAGAAAGCCAGTGTGGTAAGTAGCCCAGGACATTGTTGTAAATAGAACTGCCCTGAGCTCTGTGAGCAATGGGGGTGACCATGTCTGGCCCATCCTGCCTCCTCTGGGTTTATCCTGGGGAACCCTCTGGTAACTCACATTGGTATCTGTCATGTCTATTAACCCAGGAGTTCCTGGGCACCCAAATGGGTCTCTTGCAACTCTCTGTCCCTAACACCAACCACAATGCCTGGTTTATGGGGGCCTGAAATAAAGGGTTGCTGAATTGAGAGATGGAAAGAAAGAGGTGGGGTTCATGTGAAGAAGGAGTGCTGCCCTCTAAGCACCATGCTCCCTGGCTGGGACGGGACTGGGCGTAAGGCACGGAGCGCCTCGCCACACTCTGTTATCTTAGCTCCTCTTATCATCTCCCTTTGGCCTGACTGATGGTGGCAAGGAACAAACTCCTGTTCTGTGCAGAGGGCAAGGCTGGGGGGCTTTTTCAGCTGCCTTCGGAGATTCCTGAGTCTCAGGCCAGGGCTCCTCATCATGTCAGTTCCAGGGTATGTTGTTGATGGTGGTGGTGGTGGTGTGTGTGTTTTAGAATTAAATATGAGAGCCAACACTTGAATAGCAATTATGTTCCTCTGATAAATTGGGCAAGAGGTTCTAGGATAAGAGGTTCCAAGGCAGTTTTGAGATCTTTTTGTCACAAGAGACTGTTCAAGACAAGTGTGGGACCCTATCTACAAAGTCTTAAGGAAAATTGGGTTCTCATTCCCCCCAAAAATTATTTATTTAATTTTGGGGCCTGCAGTGGTGTAGTGGTTGGGGCACTGGGCTCCCACATGGCAGACTGAGATTTGAGCCCTGGACCTGGTAGCTTGAAACTCATGCTGGGCGTACATGCATGCACACCCAAAATCCTGAGAGGAGAATGAAGGAGAAGGGATTGCAGAGTGGCCATTTCCCTGGGGCAGGAGGGGGGGCAATTTCTTGCTTTCTGTCTCTCTGTCTCTCTCTGTTCCTCTAGTGAGTGCATGCACCCTATAGCAAAAATCGCTCTCTAAAAAAGAATTATTTAATTTTATTAACTATTATTACTATTATTATTTAACAAAGAATCAGGCACATGTACTCACCAGAGAGAGACAGAGAGAGAGAGAAAGAAAGAGAGAGATAGATATAATGAGAAAGCAAGTCACAAGTCTGGGACTCGAACTATGAGGGGCCACGTGGGAGGCTAGTGCCTTAACCACCGTACTACCTGCTGGCTCCTGGGGTCTCATTTTATGGTTATTATGGTAATTTTCTGAGTCCTAATCTGTCTCAAGCACAACTGTGTCTTATATCTGCATTACTCATTTAATCCTAACCACCTTGCAAGGTAGATGTTATTTTCTCCATTTAAAGATGAACAAACAGAAGCTCGGAGGGCTAAGTTCCCTTGCTCAGTATCACATTGATGGTCTAATTCCGAAGCCTGTGGTCTGGTCCCAGACAGGTACATTGACCCCTCCAAAGTAAATTGGTATCTTTGTTGAAATGTTAGTAGAATTATGAGGCTTAAGAAATGAAGCTTAGTTAAGAAGGAATAAATTAGTGTTTCTGAATAAGCCGTGCTGGACTCTGGGTCACTTGTTCTGGAGAATTGTCAGCAGTAGCCCCACAGCTTAATATGTTGCTTTGCCAAAATTTGGTGAAAATGAAGTGTAAAATCCAGCGTAACCGTCCACAGGGCCGGTTCCCAGGTAGCCTTGACTTTTATTCCAGCCGATTCTTCTAAGAAGAAAGAGTAAAAACAGCCCAGCTGGTTGGTTCGTTCTAATTTAAAATTCTAAGAGCTTCAGCTTCCACACCAGAAAGTGCTGAGAGTTGGCTGTAGCCATCCTGCTTCCTGGAGTGAGTGCAGAAACCGTCAAGGCAGGCAGGCTGGTCCTCCTGCCGCCTCTCAGAGCTAAATTGTGCCTCTTCCCCTATTGCCGTCCTGTTGATGTGAGGCTCGGTGGGCTCACCAGGATCCTTTGTGGTCAGTTAAGAATTCAGGGAAGGACTGGCTCGATAGCCTCGTGGTTAAGGAGCCAGATCCCATATGACTAACTGCATTTAGAGTCCCAGATGCAGCATCTTGAAAAACATGCCAAGCTCATGTCCCTGCATGCCCCAAATCACCACAGAATGGAGAAATGGAAGAGAGGGATTGTGGTGTGATCATCCCCCATAGGGGATGCTTTCTCACTTTCTCTCTCTCTGTCTCTGGTGAGTGCACACACCCAATTTTTAAAAAGAAACAAGGGCCAGTGGGTGGTGTGGAGGTGATGGCTCTGGATCCCACACGGCCTACTGCACAGTTTGAATCCCGGACCCAGTGGCTTAAAAATCATGCAGGGTGCATGTGTATACGTGTGAGTGTTCCCCAAATCCCTAGAGGACAATGGAGGAGAAGGGATTACAGTGTGGCCATCCCCACAGGATGATTTCTCACTTTGCCTCTCTCTTTCTGTCTCTCTCTCTCGTTTGAAGTGAGTGCACAGATCCTGCAGCAAAAAAAACTAAAACAAACAAACAAAACAAAAACAAGAAAAGAAAAAAAAAAGGAATTCAGGAAAAACGAGTGTCATGGCCTGTGGACCAACTCTCAGTGGGACTATCACTAATTCTAGAAGGGCAAGTTTCTGGGGAATACAGGCCCAAGGATAAGGATCAGGGATTACTTAACAGAGGCCTCCTGACTCTGACAACCAGGGGACACGCAGTAGGGTTTATGTAGTGCTGTGGAGTGTGCATGTGTTCCTGAGGGGCTTGTCATGCTGAGCACAGTAGGGCTTGCTTCTAAGGGAAGCAGGCTGTCCCGTCTTGTCTCAAGAGCTAGCTCTAACACTGGGTGCGTGTTATAGCCACTCGGGACCAGAGCACATTCACCCTCTCTGACAGCGGTATTTTACTGGATGGAGAAAATAGCACCAGGATTTGCCAGTGATGCTTCTTCTTTCTGCTCGAGGGAGAAAGTGGGTATTAAGAAGAGCCACATGTGTTAATTAGAAAGAGTTTTTATCTAGCAGGCACTTGTGGTGTGGACAAGTCATGGTGTAGCACCCAAAGGTGTGTGCATGCGTGTGTGTGTGTGTGTGTGTGCGCGCATCTTTTATTCTTAGCCTATTTGATGATGTTACAGCTTCATGAAAACCAGGCTTACTGGTATTTTCTGACTCTAAAATGGTACATATACAGTGGAGACAAGCCTAGGATGGCTCTTTTTGGAAATTATTTTCAGCATCTGCTTGAAGAACACCCCGCGCCCCCCTCCACCAAATATTTTGAGTGGTCTAGAAGGAGAGGTAGAACTATTCTGTTTATATTTTTAAATATTCTTAATGTATCGGCAAAAGCAGAGCATGTTTCCAATGTTGTGGAGATACATACAGTAAAGGAGACCGCTCTT